ATAAAAATTATTTTAACATATTAATAAATGAAAATAAAATAATATATATATATGTATATATTTTTATTAATATATTATTTGATATATGTGTATGTAGTTAAATAATATATATTTAATTTCACATATAATAACTGCAAGTATATTTTAACTCAACTGGTAACAAAGGAGGACTTAAAGGCTTGGGAGGTAGAGGTCAATGGCTCAAATTTTAAATTGGGCATATTTCATAATGAATATGTAACATGGCATATGGTGACGACGTGACATGGCATGGCACAAGTTGTTATGTGACATGACATAACGTGGTACACATATGGCGAGGTGATGTGGCATGTGTTGTGGCACAAAAAGGTGCACACGTGACAGGTGATGTGGCATAAGGTGTCAGGTGATGTGGCATAAGGTGTCAGGTGATGTGGCATAAGGTGTCAGATGACGTGGCATAAGATGGATTTTTTTTTAAAGTTGACTTTTGGTGGCGATAAAAAATCATCGCTAAAGGTTTTTAATAGTAATTTTTTACCGTCAAAAGGTCGCCACCAAAAGTCTTATAACTAATAGTTTTTAGCGGTGACAAATATAGTCACCGTAAAAAGTATACCTTTAGCAACGACAATTGTCGCCGCCAAAGGTAAACTTTTAGCGGCAAAAAACATTTGGCGATGACAGGTATATTTTTTGGCTGCGATTATATTTGTCGCTGTCAAAAATTATTAGCGAAAAGACTTTTGATGGTGGCCCTTTGGTGGCGAAAAGTCACCGCTAAAAATTTTTAGCGATAACTTTTGGACTTTGTCACTGCCAAAAGTCAATTTTTTGTAGTGAAGCTAAGGCAATACATCTCATCATTTTGTATTTTATACATATAGAAAAAAAAAATATAAAGGTTAGTTTCTATATTTTAACATATTTTAATAACACTATATATACTTTCTTTACATTACTTCAATTAGTCTTTAAAATTTTATTTGTTTGTAATATTAGTCTTTATTAATATATTATACTGATGGAGTTAAATTTGTTGATGTATATGTATAACTCTATTACTTATATTTTTGAGTTAATAAAATTATTATCAGTTAGATATTGTACAAACAAAATGACTACTAATATTTCAGCTTATGTTCCATTGTCATCTTGTCTTATTTCTTTTAAGGTTGATTCCGTTGCACATTTATGAATCTTAATTTAATATTTTGTTTTTTTTTTGGTCTACTCCTTTTTAATACAAATCATAAGAATTTTAACAAGTAAGCACAAAAAGTTATATAATTTATATATACGTCAGTCACTATTAAATCTTTATAAACTATAGTTATATTTAAAAATATAAAAAATAATGTTGCAAATAGATAAAATTTAAGAGACTTGAAATAATAAAAATAATATATAGATTAACACCAAAACAACATTAAAAGTATATAGATAAATAGTTGTATTTTCCTTCATATACTAATAAATTAGATTTAGAATTATGTTCAGATATCATCTTCAAATTAAAATGTTTGGACCAAAATGTCCTTGTAGTTAATGTTTACTTTTTTAATTTACTCCAATTTAATTATATTATCCACTATATGAGGAACAATGTGGGGGATGTAATTGATGCTTCCGGGGGATGTAATTGATGCTTCCTGAAATTTATAATTTTTCTTATAATAAAAAATGAAGAAGCATAAGGCCGTTTCTCTTATATTTGAATATGAAGTAGCACATAATTTGATACTAGACCTATAGGTTGTTGGTAGTTACGTTCTAGAGACGGCTATTCATAAAGGATTATTATTGATAGAAGATTGAATTAAGTGTTATGAGGGCCATTAATACGTGAACGTTCCATGGGGCCAATTGATAGAAAATTTGTAGTATAGGATATAATAAATTTCACATGAAGTAGCATGGGAAACTCAATTTTGTAGTATCGGATAACTAAATTTCATATGAAGTATAGTATATGAAATTCAATGGGCTATTTAAGTGGGTTCATTCTTGCATCTCAAAAGTTAACATTTGTGATAGGTTTCTTATGTCTCTTAGGTACCCATATGATATATATATATATATATTTTAAAATAACATTGAATTATTGGATGAAACCATAGTTAAATTAATGGCCTTGGTGCAATCTTTCCATAGAATTGCAAGTTACATAAAACTTAAAGGGTTAAACTATATGAGTTGGTTGAAATTCTCCTATATTTAAAAATGGAGAGAGTGAACTTTAGTAGGATGGAGAATTTTATTATTGACATGGGGAACTCAACCCACTCAAATACTACTTTGAGCATCTCATAGCTGCTCAATGTATAGGATTACTCATTTGGGAGAGGAATCTCTCCCTTTTTTTATCATCATTTCCCCCCTAACTTTCCTAATCATAACTATTTTTTAAATTTATGACTAAAATATATTCATTTAATGCAGTGATATCAATAGTTCAGATTAGGAAATGGAGGGAAAATTATGTCTAGGAAATGGAGAGGTTCCTCTCCTTACTTGATATTCATATTACTAAGTCCCCATCAATAGCAAGGAAAAAAAAAAAAAAACCAACCGACAAACAAACAAAAGAAAAAAACTTGTTAATGGAGTTCAATGTGGGCCAGCCAAACAAATTCAATCGCACTCATGGTCAAAATAATTTCGAGGATTTATGATTATTCATGAAAATGGAAGAATGGGATGGGGACCAGAGGGAATAGTAGAGAAATAGATGTGGGATTCTCATATTCGTTTCTTCATCAATTTTGGATTTGGAAAATCAAATTTGTCTTCAAAAACAATATTTTTGTCCATTAAAAAGACTGATAGAATTAACAGATTTGTTAAAATATATCTATATCTTCTTTTTCTTGTGTGAATATATATATATATATCTTCTTTATTTATTTGCGTGATGTTAATGAAAGATTATTTAATATTTAATTTGTAATGTGAATGCGAAGTCTAAAATACGTCTATCTATTTAACATCTGTCTCCAATGTTACATCTGTCTAACTATTCAACGTTTGTCTAATCTTATGGGATAGTGAGATCTCTAATTTTATATAACGTATAAAATCAGGGAGATATATATATATATATATATATATTATAAAGCTGCGATCCTTGATAAAAAAAAAACAATAAAAATAATGCTTCGATCCTGCAGGCCCCTTTTGTGATTAATTCACGTTGGATTCCATGTTTTTAATGGTGCCTGCAATAACGATTTGTGTTTTTACTCCGCATTATTAGCTTAATTTTTATTCATTGATAAATATTAGGAAAAATTAATTTGCAAGTCTTTTTTTTTGAAATTTTTGAATTAGGTCCTGTCAGTTTAATTTATCTTAATCATCAAATCCTTCTAGTTTAATCCATAAATAAGTTAATCCCTAAAAATTAAAATTATTAATAAAATATTTACTTAATTTTAAAAAAATAAAACACTTTTAGAGTTTACAAAAAAATTGATTTAATAATTTTGGAGAAAAAAAGAAATAAAATTTGATTTAATAGCAAGTTTAAATTTGTATTAACTTTTTATTAAAATTCTATAGGCATAAAAAATGTTTAGAAGATAACATAATTATATAAATTCTAAGTTATAAAAGTTATATAATCTTTTAATAAAAATGTAAAAATTCTGAATTTCATTTTTTAAGGAAAAATTCAACGAATTTAACATTCGGGATTAACAAATTTAATGAATCACATTATAAAAATTCAATTAAAATAAAATAAATTGTAGAGACTTAATTTAAAATTGTCAGGAGACAGTTGGGTGATTTCTTGTCAACAATACTGCATGATTTCAGCTGCATGTATAAACCCTTTCTCAGTAGATTTTTAGTAAGCTTCGGGGGATTAATTGCTTCTATGATTGTTTAATGGTCATTATATTCCATTCAAAATGTTGTTTCGTTTTCTGCATTATCAATGGGATTTTATTCCCTCCAACGTGATTAAAAAAAAAAAAATTACTGTTGTCTATTTCCCATAACGAATGCCAAACATGTAATCTTCCTTAATTGGGCGGGGGAAAAAAACAGATAATATCATGACGGAAAATCACCGAACTGTAAGGTGCCAATCAAATCGAATGGATTTAATTACGAAACCAAATCACAATCATAAATGATTCTAGTCCTATCAATATTCAACAACATTATATATCAGTAGTTCACAAGCAAAAGTAAAAAGCTTGAAGCGATATTCATTACAGAGAAGCCATGAGAATCACTCAGCAATTACTCTCATATGGCTTTCTTCTCATCGCACTAGGTATACATCTCTTGCTTGTTCTACTTATAACCCCACACACGCCCACACATATATTATGGTTAGTGGTGGAGGCAAGTTATGGTGAGATGCAAATGCACTTTGCACACACACACACTGAGGGAGTAGACTGTGCCGACAGTAGATATCACCTCCCCCTAATGTACAGAAGGGAAATGATAGACTTCTCTTAAATAAATTGTTATATACACGAGTTGAGATTTGAATTCCTATCCACTTCTTTTGGTGACGAGAGTCCAAATCATTCATGCCAACTTTAGTTGGTAATAAATCCACTCTCTATATTTTGGAGAAAATTATAAATTTAGTGCATGGTTTTAGCATTTTGTATTTATATATACTTTTGAAATTTTGAATTACTTACCCTTTCTCTCACAGTCTCGGCTCTGCCACTGATGAAAGTTAATGATCAATGCAATGGTGGCAACAATTACAAATTTGGTTAAACAAATAATTGGATTGAGTTCACACACACACATTATATATTATGGTTAATTAGTAGCAGAACTACGTTGTGGTGAGGAGGTACATACATTCTTTGTTTTGGAGAAAAATATAAATTTAGTGTACATGTAGATTTCAATTTAGTATTTTGTATTTGTGTGTGTGTGTGTGTGTGTGTGTGTGTGTGTGATGAAATCTTGAACTACTTATCTTTACTCTCACATAGGGGTCTCAGCTCCACCACTTATTATGGTTAATGATGATTGCAGTTATGGCAACAATGGTGGTGGGGAAAGCAGAGTTATGCTCAGACGTGATGGCTGTGGGGAATAATGTTTGTCAATCCCCAATGACTTGCTATAACGCATGTATTCAGAGGCATCCAAATGGGAAGCCATCGTGCCAGCAAAACACATGCATGTGCATTTACGAATGTGCCCTTCCTCCCCCAAGGAAATGTAATGTGGGTTTAGGTAGGTGCTTTACTGGTTGTGATGATAAATGTTGTAAATCGAAGTGTGCTTTTGCCAAACTTGGTGGTGTTGGCTTCTGCGATGACACTCTGGGGAAACAAAATTCTCTGTGTCAATGCCAGTACACTTGTTAATAGTGTTTTTGGTTTACTTATAAAGGTATACTTCTTTTGGCCGAACTCAATGGTGCTTGACTGTCATATATATATATATATATATATGTATATATCTTAGTATGAATAACATGGTTTCAACTTATTTGGAGGAAGATCCGTGTCATTGTGAAAGATAGTATCCATTTTGTTCTTACTTCTGGTATGTGTGTTTTTTCCTTTAGAATGAAAGTAAAATACCAAAGTTTAATATAATGATATTTAGATTTCGACAATTTTTTTTTTAAAAATAAAGTTATGCATAACATCGATTGAAATGTTGCTGTAAAATACCAAATATATATATATATATTTGTTATGAAGTAAAAGATAAAATTAAAGGATTGAGTTGAAAAAAAGATTAAGTAGATGATGATGTTGATAATAACAATAAAATTGGATGAACTAAAGTACATATTTTTTTGCATAAGATAAACTAAGTAATGATAAAGTAAAAAAGTAATCTTTACCAAATCCTGTCAAATCTTAAAATAATAATAATAATAATAATAATAAATCTTCAAGTGTCTTCTACATCCATATTGCATAAGGATTTTGAGAGGTTCGTGGAAACGGAGTGGGACAACTGATGAGAAGGATTGGAATGACAATAGTATTTGGTCATTTGCGAAGAAAAAAGAAAAGATTGGTGAGTCGGTTGGAGGGAATTGATGGAACTATTAGAGATTTGGAAGAGGTTATCATGCAGGAGGATTTCATGTGGGTCCAAAAAGCAAAGTATAATTGGTTTGTCCTAGCTAGGAGACAAAAATACGACATATTTCCATACCTGGGAAAATGCGTGATGATGACACAATAAGATTGAGGCTATGCAAAATACAGATGGAGAATGGATTTATAACAAGGAAGAAATACAAGCATTAGCAACAGATTTTTATGTGGCTCTGTTTACCAAAGAAAGTGACTCATTGCCAGGGGTAAGTTGTGAAGTCGGCTTCCTACAGGTGGAGGACAGAAGCCTCACACAGTTAGGCTCTCAGGTGATAGATGAAGAGATTGAGAAAGTTATTTTGAATATGGGTGTGCTTGATTCCCTAGGTTTGGATGGTTTAATGCTCTCTTTTTTCAAAGCCAGTAGAAACATGTGGGGCATTTTGTTGTCGATTTTGTGAAACCATGCTTTGCATGCCCTAGGATGTTAAAGGAGGTAAATCATACTTTTATCGGTTTAGTTCCATAGAAGAACCTGGAGACTCATTAATAGGAAAAAAGGCTTTTAAAATTGGTTGAAAAGAGCCTTCTAGTTTGGTTTCGATATGGAGTGATTCAAGCGCCCACACAAGCTCACAACATATACTAGCTAATAGAATAAGTTTGAACTCAATCTGACAGTCTGATTTAAAATTAGGCACTGAGGGTGCAAAAAGCCACTTTTCTTTCAAAAAATTGCATCTTAAGTGTTCAATTCTCATTCCTTATCTTATTAGACAACTTTAGGCCTTAAACTAAGTCTAAAAGGATCACATACACCTGATTAACACCTTACACCACATATATCACGTCAATTGCCCATTTTGGCCTCTTAATGCCACATTATATAATTGTGAACTTATATGAGGAATACACATACAACATATATTTACAATATATAATTAGACTTGTTCTACTTTCAACCTTCTGACTCTTGCATATGGAGCTCTACCTCACCATATGGTTGAAAATTATAACATACTCAACTCTTCCAAATAGGGCTCTACCTCATTATTTGTGTCAAGTTCTCATATAAAAACACAATTCACATTCAACATATAATCATTACATCAATTCATATATATATATACACACACAAGTGGAACAACTTACATAACAACATAGACTTACTTGAATAGTATCTAGGCCTTCCTATGTACCCTTAACTAGGGCACCCTCGGCGAGATTCACATCATATACATATATAAGCAAGATTCATAGCACAATTCATATACACATTCACTTTTGCATTTTAGTTGGCAACTCAACTTTATATACAACTTTATACATTCATTTTACATATGGTAGTCATGCTATTACCAAATGAAGCTACTCTTTCATCACTTCCTTTTTAGGCCTTCTCGTGCTCTCTTCACGTATGTTCAAAAGTAATGGAGTAAGATGTACGTCCTAGTAACTTGGAGATAATCCTAATTATTGGTTAGTAAGAAAAATTATAAACAAGCAATAAAGTTGCATGTGTTTCAATCAAAATAATATCATATGCTTATATAGGAATTCATTCTCATCAATCTCATTACACTCATGTAATACATTTTTATTTCTACTTAAAGGAGTAATCTCTACACTCAGGTCAGGACTTCTAGTCACATGAAACAGGGCCCACTATATCACTACTTGGACCAAGTAATCCTTTTTGTGTATGCGTAGTCCCCTAGGTTCGTCATGGCAAAGTTAAACTCTACACTCTAGATCATCAAGACTTTCTAGCTTTATATAAAGTAGGACTATGATCCCTTATTAGGATAACCTCGTGGATTATTCCATATCCTAGGTCTGTTGTGGTGGAGTCAAGCTCTACGCTTTGGATCATCAGGACTTCCTGGACCTTCTTACGGTAGAACCACATCCCCCCACTATAATCCAGGGTATTCTCGTAGATGCGATGTATGGTAATGCACATGTCACCTCAAATTCATTTCAATCAATACTCACACACTCGCATGCATTCTTTCACAATGCTGCTACTCTATCAGTTCACAACATAATGTACATAGTTATATAAAAATAGTTGTAAATAATTTCACAAACAAACAAATAAAAAGGTTACTCCAATTACCTTTAACTCTTACTACTAAAGGTTACCAATCACTATGGACTCCCAAGCATTTAGATTCCAATGAGAAATGTTATAGGAGCTCAATCTACACAACATAGTCTCCCTCAGTCAATTCTCAACACTTAGTACAGGCATTGATTCAGCTAAACTAAATCCCTTAACACATGCAACGGTCTAATTAATGCCTTTTAAATTTATTAATATGTTATTTATATTCATTAGCTCTATAGGCTATTCAAATAACCATAACAATCTTCTAACTCATTTATTCAACAAAAATTTTACACTTAACCTAACTTTTAGGCTATTTTAAACCTATATCCTCAAATCTTAACCATTCAACTATATACTAGTCACAAAATCTTAGTTCTAAATTCAATATCTCATCTTAAACCTTTCTTTTAGAGCACAACACCTTAGAACTTCATTATTCAATTTGTGAACCAATGAAATTCAACAAAAATTGGGTAGAAATGAAGCTTGAGATTGCACAATACTTACCCAGTAAGTTACTAATCGAAGCAAACTCTTGAGCTTTAGTTATTGTAAGCCTTAGCAGATGAGAACTTCTCCTCCTCCCAAAACATATTTTATAGCACTTCCTCTTCTAATTTCATAAGCTGTTCACGTTAGCTTTAAGTGATTCTTGGATAATGCATCATGGCGCGTGCAGCTTTTGTCACAATGCGTGGCACAGTGAGTTCAATCTTACTTGTGCTAGTACATTACGCCCCAAATTGTTATTCTACCTTTTAATCTTATCAACACAACATCCAAACAACACAAGACATCAACTCAAAATCCTCACTACAATTAATCCACTTAATACTAATTAGCAACTAGTTTCTTGGATTGAAATTTAGGATGTTATAGATGACATGTTGTTACTCATAATTATGAGTGGGTAATTTTGATTTATTTATTTTCAAATGTTGACATGGATCTTGTTTGTAAACTTAGTTGTCTTTTTGGTTCAATTTTGGCATAGAATTGATATAATGATAGTTAATTAGTATGACTTTAGGTAGGTTTTATTATGTTTGTGTGATAAGGATGGCTAAGAAAGGAAGCATCATAGCAATCTAGTCAAGTATCATCAAATGAAAGTTAAGTTATCTAGGTGAAGTAGAAATAGAATTCCATGCATGAACTAATTATAAGATTGAAAGAAAATTAATTTACTAGGCTTTAAGCCTTGAGTTCCATCATTAGCTCTTTCTCCTGCTACACTTGTTATTGACATGAGCTTCTATTCTGATGGAATTCTAACTTTTTTCTTATTGTTATATTTTCTTTTTCTTTTTCTTTGGTTGTTTAGTTTGGCACTTGTTCTCTTGTGGTTATAACTGATAATTCATAACTTACTACTTGATGGTCTATATATAACTCCTTTATCTCTAATTTATCTACTTCTCTATTTGATGTGACTAGCAGGTATGTATTCTCTTGAGGATATTTCATACTCATTTCCCTGTCAGAGTCTTTCTGTCTATCAACTTGCCACATCTGTTGGTCAAGGAACTTTCAGGGTCCTTTTCTCCTTGTTCTTTTTTTGTTTTTAAACATTAAAGACAATGTCTATTTTAAGTGTAGGGAAGGGAGTGCTTGTTTTCATATTTGTTGTTTTTCTTGTCCTTGAGTTTAGTTTGTGCCTTTTTTCTCTTTCTAATAGTAGTTGGTTATACTTATTCGTACATAGTTTAAAAATGATTTTTTAAGAAACTTTTCAAAATCTCATAAACATTTTGTTTTAGTCATTTTATTTTGTTTCTTTTTGTGAATGTGGCTATGGTTGGATTGAATTGAGCTTCTTGAAAGAATTAAGTTTGATTAGAAGTTGGTCCTACCTTTTTAGAATTTTAGTAAATAGGCAATGGATTAGCTTTTGATAATTGACTATAGGTTGTCCAAAAACCTTGTAAGACCTTGAGCCTAAATGTTAATTTTCCTTTAAGTGGGAGTACATTTATTATAATTCCATCTCTAGAACTTGTTTTGAATTTTTATTGAGACTTGTAATGGCTATTTGCATACATAAATATGATTTAGGCATTCTTTTTGGTAGATTTTGTAAAGTCCCCTATTTTGTCTGGACTTTACCAATCTATATATGTAACATTCTAAATTTTTAATCCTGCCTTAATGACTGATTAGGAATAAATTAGTAATTTAATCTTAGATTTAGGATTCT